CTGTGATTCTGTGATTCTATGTCACTAGTGAAAGTCATGGCCTGTTTTTTCCAGGCCCAAAAACTTAATGCAAAAGATTCCCTGTTGTGAAGAAATTCGGTCAATCCTACGTGACAAGTTCAACAAACCTTTGTTTACCTCCAGTTCAAATTACAGTCCTATGGAATATAACACATACTTAAACTTCAGTACTATGAGAGCTTCTGCAATATCAATAGCAAAACTGATCAGGATAGGAGAAGAATTGAGTGAAAGGATGTATTTTGTGCCTTAAGGACAATTGATGTTGCTATGGCAAGATATATTTCTGAGTTCTCTTCTACTGTAAATTTCTGATGACTAAACAATGTTGTCTTTATATGCGATCCATTGGTTTTTAGAGTACCGTTTTTATTCCAGCTATATAATAACTTTCCTAATATTCCGTGGGCACTGTTCAATTTTTTATTATTTTTGCACTTTTTAATTTTGAAATGTTGGAAAACATTTTGAAATGTTGGAAAACTTTTGATCCTAAGCCTTTGAAATGCTGAGAGATCATAATACTTATAGGTATCAATATTGTAAATCCAGTAGGGCTCTTTTATTTCACCAATACTTATCACTTTGATATTTTTCCCTGATCTTTATTACAATCATTTTACTTGTCAGGTATTTGTGCCCATATATATATATATAATTCCTTTTAGATATATATATTATAATATATATATATATAATATTATATATATATATAATATATAATATATTTATATTTATATATTTTAGGTATATATTATAATATATATATTCTATTATAATATATATATATATTATAATCTGGAGACAGATTACCCAGTTGAGTGGCTACTTAGGAAAATAAAAATATGAGTCGGGCTCTTGTAATGACCTATTAATGTAATTAATACTGAAGCTTAATACAAATTCTTAGAAATAGTGACAAAGATTTTTGACAGTTTCCCACACAAATTTAAACCTTAAATGAGAAGGCACAAGGAAATGTTGATGGTGGTCAACCTGTACTAATACAACTCACAGCAACATATTTATTTAACTTTACTTTAATTTATGGGAGAAGGTGAGAGAACAGGAAAAGGAATTGAGCAGATTTGACACCTCGGGTCAATTTTTGTTTCTTCAAGGGTGGCCCAACAAAGCAATAAATGTTGACATTTGCAGTGGGAAAAAAAACAGTCTCCTATGGAAGTGGAAGAGAAGTGGGAGGAAATGAAAGTTGAAAGAAAAGAAAGGAGTACTTGGAATACCCTCATGGGACTGAGTGAGGTGAAAGAAATCATTCAGATGCTTAGGGATATGAATTTAGATTAACTGTTCTGTTTTTTGAACACTAGTATGGCTAAAACCATGCTAAGGAATGAAAATGAATGAAAGAAATTAAAAATAACAACTAAATAATAAGTTAATAAACAATTTAATAATAAGTTGCTCCATAATGGGTGCATGTAAGGACAAAAAATAATTATGCAGCACAGGTAGTTTACATATCTAATCACTAGTGGGAAACTGTTGCTTGTTATCAGGTATTGAAATGTACCACTAATCTTATGGGAGGAATGAGACTGTTCAGTCTTGAAAGGGAGAAAAATCTACTTAATTTTTGGAAATAATTTGGTATTAAAAAATACATTAGTTGTCCGTCTACCCTCAGGTTTACAATTCCATCTTTTATATCAAATATTCACTTTTAAAACAATATGACAGTAATTAAAACCATAGGGGATTAAATATAATTATATATCTTACATTGAAAACATTTGACTTTATTTTTTAATGTAGGCTAGAGCTTTTTTTTTTTTTTATCAGGTATATTAGCAGATTAATCAGATTTTCTTACATTTTGCCATTTCACATCTATAGGTACAACATGTTAAAGTCATATATATCTCTGACCTAACTTCTCATTTGTCAAGGAGGTTTAAGCAAAGGTGGAGCACACCACTGAAATTGTACTGTTTGTTTCGGGTCAACTTTCAACAAGTTGAAAGGATTGCTTGGGAAGCTGGGACAGCCTAGTGCAGGTTTAAGCTGCTGCTGACACTACTTATTTGAATGAACTCACTAATTAACTGTGAAACAAAAGCTTGTTTTGCTGCAACAACATGGTAGAAGACAGGGCTTTAAGCACTCTGGCAATTCCATGTCAGAGTGACAGCCCACATTCTATGGGGAATTACAGATTTCAAAAAAAGGTTTTAAGTGTTGTAAGGTATATATATTTCTATTAAGATATTTTCTGTACATGTAATATGGAAGACCATTTATCCATTTCCTCTCTTTCTGTATCACTGGCATAAACAAGATCAGGTGAGGCTCGTAGAGGAAAGGCTACTGACTTGAAGGCCACTCTGCCTCTGTGACACCAGTGGTTATTCATATTGTGACACACCTTTCTCTTTTTGCTGTGATGCATTTTATTGCACAGCTGTCATTAATGATAGCAGTGTTTAGCTATACATGCCCAGTAAGTCTTCCAGCAAAACTGACAAGGGATATCCTCTCTGATGATATTATGCTGTTCCTCAGGGAACTAGAGCTGAGGTTCTACAAGGGAACCAATTCACAGACTGAAGAACATGAATTAAGTTGTACAGCCTGAGACCTGGGGCTCTGGATGGGTGGCTTGAGACAATATTGTCCTCAGTCAACAGAAGATTCTCATTGATTTTAATAGCACACTGGAACCGTTCCTTGGCCCACAGTTTGGGCTTTGAAACAAATAAACGAAGCTGGAACATTGGATTTATTTTAAGCTGTAAAATTGGTGTTAAATATATTTGAGGTTAACCATATGCTAATGACATTAAGTGAAAGATTGAGTAAGTCAAATAAATGTAAATTATAGTTCTTGGAAGCATTTAACCTGTCTGTAACCATGACAAGGAGGAGAAAATTCTCAAGACAACTTTTGGTTTTTGTATATAAATTAGTAGAGTTTAATTGAAATGCTCCAGAAATTGACTTTAGCATAGTTCACTGTTTTTACCTTCAGTTTATTAAATTTTTATGTCTTCCAAATTCTATGCATTTAGTTTTCCAGTAAGTGACCACAGTACAGTAGTTTCCCAGCAGTGATGTAATACTGCAGAAATAGTCCAAGCTGAGTTCACTTCAAAGTGTTACATTTTTGTCTTTGTTTCTTGCCTTTCATTTATTTTTTCCTTCAGAAAAGGGTTCTTGACTGTTTAAAAAAAAGTGTTTATAATAGGAAACATATACAGAATATTGCTGTTTATAAACCAATCCTGCACCTTAATCGTTGTGTGTGAATGTAAAGCCAACATTATTCCTTCTCATTTTTAAAGTAATCATGCTCTCTGACTGAAATGGCCTTCATGAAAGGTCTTTGGTCCTTATAAAATATATTTGCCTAAAACTCCCTGATAAGACACCAAACTTATGTGAAACAAACATACTGAGAAAGCTAAATCTTTTGTGTCTGCTTGAAAACAGGCAGAACACGTTTGTGGCCTTACTTAGTGCAAGCTGTGTGGATAAATTAATAGTACATTTTTTATTTTGACAAGATTGTTTCACTTTTGTTTTGATTTTGGTCTAAAAAAGGAAAGAAATTACTGACATATATTTATCAGTATGAAAGAATTATCTCAGGATTTTAAACAGCAATTACAGTCACTGTTTCTGTTACACTGTTTAACTCGCAACTTGCCCTTCTCTATACCACCCTCTCACACTGTACCTGGCTTCTATAGATCTTCAGTAAGACATGAACCTTTCTTTTCTTTTTACAAACGAATGAATAAATACTTAATGGCTATATTGTTTAAAATTATAAATAGGTGTTAAACTGAGCCCTGTTTATTGCAACACTTTCTCTGAGTGGGCAAAGGCGGTCCTACCTGATGCCAAGAAAATGCCTGCTTTGGCTCAAGACTTTATTGTAAGCCATTCTCAAGCCAAGGACATTTTGAGGAATAGATCCAAGTCAGTATAGAGATGGCAGTGTATAATATTTTGTCAAAGACGGAAACTTAACACTTGAGTTCACTTCATAATTATTTAGTGCATATGTGACATACACATCGTAGGCTTCATTTTAAAAGTACCCATAGAGAGGAGTGAAGGAAGAAAGAATTAGTAATATAATGACTGACCTCAACTTCTATTCTAGAAAACTACTGTTGGTATCAGTTATCTCGTTGTGCCATTTATATCATTATTTTACTCTCTTGAGTCCTACTTTCATTTTCAAAATTCATTTGCACAAAGAAAGAACAAAATTTCTTAAACAATAAGTAAAGCTTTTTTTTTTATTCTTTTTTTTTTTTTTTTTTTTTTTTTTTTTTTTTTTTTTGTCCTTTTGCTGAGCTTGCTGGTAGTGTAGAATAATGCTGATGTAATTTTGAATAATTTTGTAGTTGGAAATCATTTATTTAGAATACAAGTGAACTATGTTAGTTTTTAACAGGAAAAAAATGCAGATAGGTAAGAAAAAAATGATATTCACATTCCATATTAGGTGAGCCTCTTGGATATACCATTTCAATAATTGTTGTTTTTAACTGCTGCCCTCTTTTCCATATTATTATGAGTTTGGATTCATGCTATGTTTTGGTCCTTGAATTGAGACAAATTTCTGTTTTGTTTTTATTTTTAACTGGGAGCCATAAGATGGTCTTCATTTTGTTGTATTTAATCCAAAGCAGAAATGAAAAAAAATATGCTTGATTTAAACATATTTACTAAGATCACTGACACTGATTCAGATCTGGAAATTTAATACTGACTCGACTCATCCATATGTTGTTTTAACTATAGAAATATAGGTAGGTGTAGTTCTAACACAGTGAGTCAAGGAAGTATTTCTGTCTGCAAGTATAACCTGTATATATGTTATTTGTTATTCCCAGTCTGCTTTTTCCCATTTTTCATTTTGTTGTATTTTGTCTTGTTTTGCTTTCTGTTTTGCTTTGTTTTATTGGGGGAGGCAAGTAGGGATGGAAGGGTGTAAATTGCTTGCTTTCCTGCATTCACATCTGATAATATCATAATCTTTATGATTTCCACAGGTGTTCCAGTAGATTTTGTATAGTTGTAAATCCATTGCACCTTGGAAGCACATCTATATATCATATATGAGCGTCTCTAAAGAAAGAAAACAATATTTATCATAGGACTGCAATTAAAAAATATTAAAACATTTCCAGACCTTGTTTCAGATTAACACCATGCATTTAAAAAAATGTTAATTGAAAGAAAATGATATTACCTCCATACTGAACCCTACTATCTTTTGTTGTATACGGTGTCCCTTAGGTAGTTTCCAGATGTCTTAGTAGTGCATATGTTACTTTTCTGTGATGCCCCTGAGGACTGCTTTTTCAGTTCCCTATGGAGAAAAACAAGATACTGTCCTCCTGATGACACACTCTTCACTTATTTCTTGAAGCTGCTTTTTCTGATAGCTTTATACTAATAGCCGCTACACTGATTTATATTTATTATAATATTTTCTCCTGTCTTCACAACATGTGGCTCTGTATCTGTGTGAACAGCAGAATGCTTCTATTTCGATTTTCAAATATCACTTGGAAGTCAGATGCAGGTGCAAATTCTGCTTCTATTATCAGTTTTTAGATCAAATAATGAAATATATTTTAAAACTTCAAATGCTTTACCCACATAAGTAGCTCCAGAATTTGTTTTATCTGCAATATTGTTCTCTGTATCAAGTTGTTGAGTTACAGTTTCCAAAATTCTATCATTAGCTAACTGCAATTAAGCACATAAACACTGGTAACAAATTAGAATCTTTTAAAATGCTCCTTCATTTAATTTAATTATACTACCTCTAGGCCCTTAAAAATGAGAATGATCTGTTTTACAGTACTGTTAGTGTCCCTTTCCCATTAGTACTGACAAATGAAAGAACACAGTAACATGATACTTTGTAAATTTAACTGGCCTTAAAGTTCCTCGTTAAGATTTTCTTAGAACTCTGGAAAGTTTTAGTAATTAGCATAATTAAATAATCACTTTGTTACATTATTAAAACAAATAATTATTTTTTCTTTACCAGAATCTCTCCAACCCATTGCTAAATAATTTAAGATCATGAAAATTTAACATTTTCTCAGCACAGGATTACATGAATAATTTTTTACTAGATTGATAAATTGGCCTTTGCTAGAAGTACAAAGAATGCCTTTATGCTCTATTATTTGCCTTTCATATGTGAAGCTTCAGTTAACAGTTCTTGGATATTGAATCGAATATAAAATATATATATCAGTTCCTCTATATACAAATAATTTTATAAAATATTAATAACAGCTTAAAAATAGTTTTGTCCTTTAACCAAGCAGTGTTGAGCTGACAAAATTACCTTAAGCCAAGAAATAATGACATCTGTCCTTGGTTTATGCAAAACATTGGTGTGAAGCCAATGATAACTCAAGAGAACAAGGCATGTTTTTCATTTTCTGCTAGCACTTCCTAGCTCTTCAGTTTTTGGATGGAAAAATAGGTTATGCAGTAAGCAGTGCTCGGTCATCTTTTTTCTGTTTCACCAGTCAGGATGAGATATTGATTTTTAATATCCAATTATGTATTTTCTACTCTCTTTCTAGTATTCCTCTAATGAGGAAAAGTTGGATATAGGTATTTTAGCAGTAATTTCAGTTCCACTTGCTTCTTCTTGAATTTTTGCATATAATTCTGATTTCAGTTGAGAGAAAAATTTGAATAAAAAGAGAGCTTTTGAAATCCTAGAATGCCATTAAACATCACTGAAACAAGTGCATTCCCATGTTGTATTTCTTCACTAAGCCATTGTTAGCTCGATAGCTCATAAGGTGAAGACTCTAGCAGAACACTCATCCATTTTCTTTGAAATATTTATGAAATACTATAGTGCAATGAAATGTCTACTAGTGTGATATGGCAAACAGAAAAAGGATGTACTCTTGTCAGAACATTTCAACCTATTCTATTGGGAAATCATTTCTGTAGAGATATTTTTTTATGGTAAGAGTATTCTTGTTTCATGACATTTAGATAGAACACCTAGAAATCCATGCTAAACCTTTTACTGTTGGTAAATTTCTGTTGCTATTAGAGTCTGTGCTCTCAGAAATAGAAATTAAACTATAACATTATTATTCAGCAAACAGAAGTAGCATTATCCTTGGCTCCAAAAATTACCTCCCTGTGAATGGGAGGATTTCTTATTCTGAAGTTGGTCATGGCTTGGAACCACAAAATGAAGAGCCAAATCCCCTGAAATTCCACAGGACACCCACTAATACAAGTAGAAGCAACCACAATTAGAAGGGTAAATAACACATACTAGTGAGCATACAGTAGCATGATTTCAACACTCACCTTTATGTTTTTTTAAATCTTGCTATAACATACATTCCAGCTAGTAGAAAAAAAAATTATAAGCAATAGAAATATGTTAAAATGCCATATATAAAAAGACAAAGTGGACTCTCAACTGTGAAATTGTCAAAATAAAAACAAAACAAAAAAAAAATTATGATAAATCACCTGTGAAAAAATCCTGGAGTGATCTCCTGGCCCTGGTCTCAGACAGTGGCAGAACTCCCATTGACGTCAGTGGAGAATGATTTTACCTCTGCTTCTCGGCCTGCCTGATGGGAGGAGCATCACAAGATACAACTTCCAGTTGTAATGTCAAGCATCACATAAAATTTCTGTAGCAAGTGCTGTATTCTGTGTGACTCATTTCAAACAAGATATCATGTGGAGCACTCAAAGTTCTCTTACTCGGTACAGATTTCCTTTTGGTGGAAGTACTTTCTTGGGGAGTACTAAGATATTTTGCATTTGCTGGAAGAAATTCCTGTCTCCAAATTATTTCATTCATATTCCAGTTCTTTTGCCAAACGTATGATTTATTTGAGATTGGTAAAAGCAGGATTTCTGAGTAATTTCAGAGCTGCTGCCTCACAACTAGATCTCCCACTAGCCTCTCTGAACTCAGGCAGCCATTGCCTCCGGTACATGACACTTTACTTCTTACAAGGTTTTTGAAAGCATAGAAATTCAGACAAAGCAGGCAGCTGCTAAACTAAGTAACACCTCTGAACACTGATTCATTTTCATAAGGAAAGAAGTTATTTTAAAGGAGACAATAAAATAGTTATGTAAAAGATTCTGAGAACGTTTTTTGGATACTCCCTCCATAATTAGTCTCATCTCTCTCCTCTCTCATGTTTTGTTGGATTTTTGTTGTTGTTGTTTTTTGTTTGTTTGCTTTTGTTTTTTAGATTCACAAAGTTTGCATTTATAGACCTTTTTTTCTTGTTTGATTTTTTTTTTTTTTTGCCTTCTTAATACATTTGCTCCTCTTTCAAATTTTTTTGTTTTGTGATTCACCTTTATCAGGCCAGTGATAGTTAAGCCCAGGAAAGCTTCAGACTTCAAATAAGAAAATTGACTGGAATAAGTCTGAAATAAAACATCTTTATTTTCCTTTAATATCCAACTCCTTCAACCTGTCAATTTCCAGAAAAAGGATTTTATGTAAAATGTAGAAAGAATTCTTTTTATAGCTACAAGAGAAAAGAAAGATTTCCTTATGGAAGTAGGATTTGCACAATGGGACAATGTCCGTTTTAATAAGGACTTCAAAAGGCAAATGTGATTATTTTAAATTGTGATTTATGCCTTTGATGTCAAAATGAAAGACAACTACATTTTATTTTGCAAAACAAACTTTACAAAGGTTTATTTTTACTTTCTGTTTGTGTCTGTGATAATGCTGCATGTGTTAATTGAACTGCTTTGTCATATGATGGATTTATTCATGTTCTCAGTGAATCTGTTTTGTTCTCCTTAAGTTAATTCAAACTTTAAGTACTACAAGATAATACATCCCAATGTCCACAGATCCTTCTTTTAACCTAGAGAGTCAACATCCTTGCATGCTTATTTTCTTAATATTTGTAAGTTCATTATAAACTGTTATAAAAGGAACAGGCTGAGAAATACTTTGTGTAGATGTCCAGCCATTCAAAAGATAGAGAAACTTTTTATTTAACTAGACTCATATTTGCTTCTGAGGATGTCCAATTTACCTCTTAATTCAAAATTAAAACATGTTTAGCAGGATATACAGAAGCCTCATAACAATGCTTATTTGTATCCTAGTAAGCTCAGTTAACTAGTTTATTTGTACAGATCTTTCAAATTGGCATGTGCTGAAAGGTAAAATCCTGGACTAACTTTTCATTAAGAACAACTGTCGTTTGAAAATGGGGCCAGACAGCTAATGTTCCCCAGTTCTTAAACCAGGGTTCATATTACGCATTTAAATCTTCCACATAGGCAATGCACAGTCCGGTCGGATGAGGTCAAAGTGCAAGACTGTTTTAATTTTCAAGTTGGTTGATATGACTGAACAAGATGTATGTTAAACAAGAAAAGATGCCAAAAATACCTTCTGTTTTAAAATAGGCTGTCTAAGCTTCAAGTACAAGTCCGTGAGTATAGAGTCATAGAATCATTAAGGCTGGTAAAGGACTCTAAAAGACCACCTAGGACAACCATCCACCTACCACCAGTATTGACCACTAAAACATGTCCCTAAATATTACATCTACCCTTTCCTGAAACACCTCCAGGAACGGTGACTCCACCACCTCCCTGGGCAGCCTGTGACACTGCCTCAGTGCTCTTTCTGAGAATGAATTCTTCCTAATATGTGATCAGAATCTCTCCTGGTGCAATGTGACGCTAAAACATAACGTTTCTGGTTCTTTGCTTTTGGTGCTATGATGTTTTGTTTTGGCTTTAGGAAAAAAACAATGTTGATAGCACACTGATGTTTTAGCTGTTGCTGAGCAATGATGCACAAAGCCAAGAATGTCATGATGCTTGTCATGATGCCCTGCCAGCAAAGGGACTGGAGGTGCATAAGGAGCTGGGAGGGGACAGGACAGCTGACCTAAACACGACAAAGGGATATTCTATACCATGTGACATCATGCAAAAACTGTAATACTGTGGGGAGTAGTCCGGGATGGGGAGTCACTGTCCCCACACTGGTGGGGTATTTGTTAGTCATCAGTTAGCAGGTGGTCAGCAATTGCATTGTGCATCATTTGTTTTGTAAATATATACATATATATACATAATTACTATTATTTTTCTTTTCCTTTTCTGTCTTAGTAAACAGGTTTTATCTCAGCCGATGAACTCTACATTGTTTTTCTTGATTCTCAACCCCCATCCCTCCAGGAGAGTTGGGAGTGAATGAATTGCTGTGTGATGCTTAGCTGCCTGCAGGTAAAAATACAACAGATGGAATAATGGTTATTATTAAAGTTATATTATTTTTTTAATTAAATATATTTTACTTCTGGAAAAAAAAAAACATAAAAATAACTGGTAAGGAGAACATTGCTGGGTGATATTTAAAGAGTATGTGTGAGTTCAGAAAAACATAACAGATGTTATTTTTATGAATCTGCCAAATTGTAGAAATATTATTTTAGTTATGTGTAAATATTATTCTGTCAGCATTTATTTCATAAAATTTATCTCTCTAGATCATATATAATTACTGACAGTGAAACTGATTTTAGACTTGTCATCACATGACTGTAATGAAATGAAATTGTCTTTGGTTTTGGCAACTTTAAGGAATTATATCCTAGATGTGTTTTAATATTTTAAACGATTCAGAATGGAGATCTCTTCTGTGAACCTGCAAATCAAAAGTATTTTGCTAACTTTTAACAGAGATGTCATCGCTGTAATTTGTTAATTCTGACCTAAAGCTTATAGAAATAAATGTTTCAAAAGTTGAACTACATATGGATCAAGCCATGGATACTCTGCTTCCTACGAAATTTAGTTTAAGAGGAAGATTTTGATATTTTTCCTTGATCAGTTTAACAGTCAGTTGCTGGTAGTAAAAGCATTAACAGGCATGGGACTTTACTTTTTGGACATGTATGCATTTCTGCTCTTTGGGAAAAATGGCATATTGACAAAATGGTATTCTCTGTGTATCAGAACACAGAGTGCTCTGAGTGTAAGATAGAGTGTTATTAGTGTTATGGGTGTAATATTTCAAGACAAAAGATCTGGAGAAAAATATATTTTTTCAGAAACAAAACCAGTTTTTTTGGTATAAGACAAAACTTGATGACTTCTAGATCTCCATCAGTTATTATGGTGGAGAGAGTAGAATCTGGAAGCCTCAGAAGGCCTAGTAGATGAGATAGATTTGGAGCTTTAGGCAGAAAACTTTAAGATTTAGGAGTACTGGGAAAATATCAAGCTCTGATTAATTTGGCATTAGGGTTCCAACAAAGAGCCTAAAAGCCTTGAGTTCTTCAAAGCTGGTTAGGAAATTCTCAGTCTTTGGGTATTTCAAATCCAAATTCTAAAGAAAGTGTGTTCTTCCTTATTCTAAAAGTTCCCTGAATGTTTTCCAAGATTGCATCCCGTTTCTACAAAAAAAAAAAAAAAAAAAAAAAAAAAAAGGAAAGTTCCCTATGGTCCAATTCCTCATAAGACTGCAAGAAACAGAGTTGAAGTTGATGGAAATATTCAAGTTGGCAAAATTCAGCAAGGCTAAGTGGTATTATTAGGATAGTAATAATATTTCATTTTTGGAAAAAGAGAAATTTTAAAAGTACTTATATTGAAAAAAATTTCCACCTTCAGTTAGATTTACATTTAATATCCTAAAGTAATGAAAGTTCATTTAAAATAATCTCTAAAGCAGACTGCCCACTTTTTAAGCTAGTCACACTATAGAGTTCCACTAAAGTCAAAACAGAGGCATAAGTTTTAAACGTGTGTAAATTTTTTTTTTCTTAGATGTATTAAGAATTTATATAATTCACAGGAAAAAAATATTATTTGTCAACCTAATTCTAGTATTTCACAGATCAGAATAGGTAAAATATGTCTTCTTCCACATTATCTTCATATACTACTTTTACCTGTAACGTTCACATTTCTGCATAGATCCCGAAAGTGAAATTATTGTTTTCTTCTCTCCCAGTAAGACAAAACCCAGAAGAAAACTACATTCTTAGAATCACTGTTTTTGTCCCAAAAGCAGCAAATTCTCTGACACCTCCTTTCACTTCCGTTGCCAGCTCAGTTCTGGAGAGCAAGCTGTGAGGATGGAATTGACAAAGCTCCAGCTATTTTATGCATACAGTAGTTTGGTCCTTTAAAACCTGAATTATGGACCACATTACTTTCTCCTGGAAAATCTCTCAGGAAGGGAGAAGGTATTCCAATGACAACATGAGTGTGAATTTATGCAAAGTATAAGAGGACCCAAAACATTCATTTAGATTTTATTATCAGAACTGTCTGTAGGGAACTAACCACTTCATTTTTACACCCTTGAATCTTGGCA